GAGGCAGGAGACTCGCTTAAGCCCAGGAGTTGGAGGTTGCTGTGAGTTCCGCACACTACACAGGGGGACAGCTTGAGGCTCTGACTCAAAAAAAAAAAAAAAAAAAAAGACTAATAATTATTTTTGAAAGACGTCAAAGCATAATAGGTATATTTTTTTTACTGTTTTTTTTATCAACATAAATGTGTCGTGGAAGTTTAACTATAGGTTCGAGTGTGCTATGAGGTAAAAAAGGTTGAAAGACACTGTTGTAAAGAGTACAAGTCGGCTCGGCGCCAGTGGCTCAAGTGGCTAAGGCGCCAGCCACATACACCTCAGGTGGCGGGTTCGAATCTAGCCCGGGCCCACCAAACAACGATGGCTGCAACCGAAAAAAAAAATAGCCAGGCGTTGTGGCGGGCGCCTGTGGTCTCAGCAACTTGGGAGGCAGAGGCAGGAGACTCGCTTGAGCCCAGGAGTTGGAGGTTGCTGTGAGCTGTGATACCACAGCACTCTACCCGGGGACAGCTTGAGGCTCTGTCTCAAAAAAAAAAAAAAAGAGTGCAAGTCACTGGCGGCACCTGTGGCTCAAAGGAGTATAGCACTAGCCCCATATACTAAGGTGGCAGGTTCAAACCCAGCCCAGGCCAAAAACAAGCAAAAAAATACAAATCACAAGGCCTGGCCTCTGTCCTTTTTACCCACTCTGTGAACTTGGCAAATGACTAGTCTTGTGAAGTCTTTGTTTCTTCATGTGTGAAATGGGGGCATAATATTGCTGTTTCAGAGGGTTGTTGTAAAGAGAGATAATAATTGTAAATACGCTTCATGATCCGTAAAACTCTATGTTATATAAGATATTTTCAGCTCGCCTGGCACTGCTGTGGGCGTTTGTGGTCTGTGTGCTGTACTGCAGGGCCAACAACCATCTGAAGTCCACTTTCAGCTTTGTTTATTGCATTCCCCACGTGGGAGAATTCATAGATGAACTTGCTTAGAACTTTGTGCTCAGAATATCTGTCCCACCACACGTGAGCCCCTGTGGACCTGGCAGTGTGCCTTTCATCTCCATGTCCAGCCCTGGCGGGTATCTGCTTCTGTGGAAATGGCTATTGAATGAATGACAAGCTCCACCTGGCTGTAGCACGGGTCTTTTGTGAAGTGGGTGACATCCTAGGTTTGTGCCATTTAGATGCTTTGCTCTTTGCCTTCCATCTGAGTTGAAGGAAAATCAGGAATGAAAGAGTCTTTGTCAGAAATCCTGTGGTTTATTGACTCCCAAGATGGGTATGTCTCAGGTTAATCTGCTTAGAAAGCTAGGACCTGAGGCACTAGCTATAGCCTATAGCCTGCTTTACCTCCTACCCTGTGCTTTTATGTTTTCCAGAGAAATGTTTTTGAAAAGACCAGACAATATCCTGGAATTTGCTGCAGGTGAGTAAAGGCAATCCATTTTAGGTACTGACAAAGCCCCTGGAAGGTGCAATGTTGTGAATTTAGACTTGGGCAAATCTGGTATTCTCCCTGCTGAGTCTGGGTACTCCTTCACCTGTTGTCCCCCAGGGGAGCTTTTCTCAGGAGGGTCTTTCCTCCCCTGTCATTTCCTCAAAATAAGGACAGATAAGAAATGAGGCAAAATGTCCTCTCAGTGAGGATTAAGAATTTTGAGATTCCCAAAGGCTCCAACTGGCTGCTTTTCACTGGGAATCTCAAAGCAGGGTTGTCAACATTGCCTGCACATTTGAATCATCTGGGGAGCTTTTAAAAAATACCAGTGCTGGCTCGGTGCCTGTGGCACAATCGGCTAAGGCGCCAGCCACATACACCTAAGGTGGCGGGTTCGAATCCCCAGCCCAGGCCTGTCAAACAACAATGATGGCTGCAACCAAAAAAACGGCCGGCACTGTGGCGGGCACCTGTGGTCCCAGCTACTTGGGAGGCTGAGGCAGGAGACTCGCTTGAGCCCAGGAGTTGGAGGTTGCTGTGAGCTGTGAGGCCATAGCACTCTACCCAGGGGGATAGCTTGAGGCTCTGTCTCAAAAAAAAAAAAAAACAAAAAAAAACCAGTGCTCAGGCCCCACCTCCAGAGATTTTTATTTAATTAGCCTGGGGTGGGGGTCCAGCATCCATAGTTTTATTCTTTCTTTTTCTCTTTTTTAGAGATAGAGTCTCACTTTATCACCCTCAGTAGAGTGCTATGCCATTACAGCTCACAGCAACCTCCAACTCCTGGGCTTAGGTGATTCTCTTGCCTCAGCCTCCCAAATAGCGGGGATTACAGGCACCTGCCACAGCGCCCAGCTGTTTTTTGGTTGTAGTTGTCATTGTTGTTTGACAGGCCCAGTCTGGAATTGAATCTGCCAGCTCTGGTGTATGTGGCTGGCGCCTTAGTCGTTTGAGCTACGGGTGCAGAGTCAATAGTTTTTTGTTTTTGTTTTTGTTTTGCAGTTTTTGGCTGAGGCTGGGTTCTAACCCGCCACCTACCTCTGGAGCCCTGAGCTGATAGTTTTAAAGGCTCCCACCCTCCGTGATTCTAATGGACTAGCTGTCTAAGATAGCTTAAGGTCAATGGTATTTAGAGGGAGTGGGCAGAGTCATATGATTTCCTGGGTCCTGTTAGGTCTGTGAGTTGGGAGTTGGTTGTGTCCTTAAGCCTCAGACCATTTCTGACTGATTCTAAGTATGCCTTTGCTACCATAGCAGATGCTGCCCTGATTCACATTATGCTGGGTGTATAAAAACCTTCATCTGTCGTCATCCTGCGAGAGCCTAGCTCTCCTCTGAGAGAGTATTCTCAGAGCAGGCATGATATCTCAGACAGGAGCTGGCAAACCAAGTTGAGACAAGAATAAATACTTGGCATTTATTTGGACCCAAGGTTAGGCTGAGAGCAGAAAACCCCTAGAATTCCTGAGCCCTCTGATGGCTCCTGTGCATCAGCAGAGCAGAGGAATAAGCCACACAGTGTAGAGGAAGAGGGAGCATCCTGGGTGAGCCCTGCTTGGGGATGTGTGAGCTGGCAGACGTGGAACTGCCCCTTGGGGGCAGTGACCTGGGGATTTGCTGTGACATCTCATATTACCATATTGCTTTGCAAATTGGGGCCATCTATAACAGTCCTGCTAGGACCAACCCCTCCTGGCTTTCAGCAGAATAAGCTTTCTCCTCCCAGAGTCTTTACATCGTGTAGATGATTTCTTCTTTTTGATTTTTATCCCAGACTATTTCACGGATCCAAGACTTCCCAACAAGATTCATATGCAGCTAATTAAAGACAAGAAAGTGGCTTAATTAGCAAAATCATGATGCTCAGCTGTTGGGAGAGACCAGCCTGAATCCAACCTCGGGGTGGGTGTTAACCTCACTTACAGACAGAGGCTTTTTCACTCTTGTGAAAATAAGCACTAGCTTACTGGTCTAGGGTGTGAAAGAACTCAGTAGAGAAACTGAAGAGAAGTTTAATGCATATGTTTAGTTTCTGCGACACTGTCTGGGGGTATTAGGGACTGTGAAGAGAGGCCCAGGGTTGGTCTAGCTCGTCAGTAGCAGGAATCTTTTTTTTTTTTTGAGGCTTGAGAGCCTCAAGCTGTCCCCCTGGGTAGAGTGCTATGACATCACAGCTCACAACAACCTCCAACTCCTGGGCTCAAGCCAGTCTCCTGCCTCAGCCTCCCAAGTAGCTGGGACCACAGGCACCCACCACAATGCCTGGCTATTTTTTTGGTTGCAGCCATCGTTGTTGTTTGGCGGGCCCAGGCTGGATTCGAACCCGCCACCTTAGGTGTATGTGGCTGGAGCCTTAGCCACTTGAGCCACAGGCACCGAGCCAGTAGCAGGAATCTTAACCTAGTGAAATAGATGAAGAGAATGGAAATGAGAGTAGAGTAGTTCAAGGTGAAAAGCTGTCGGGGAAGTGGGGGTGGTGTCAGTGTCTCGAGGTGGTGGGGTTCCCTTTGCTTCTGGAAGGCATGGGAGCAGTTTCTTCCTCAAATTTTGGAATGGGTGCCTTCCTGCTCATCTTAGAGCCAGGCTGTGATGTTAAGGCCATCATGAGTTTTTTCAGGCAGAATGATTACTGAAATTATTTTGAAAGCTGGGTTTTTTGTTTTTGTTTTTTGTTTTTTGATGGGAAGAAGGAAAAAGCCCTAGTCCTAATTCAGTGAAACCATTTCTGTTTTGCAGCGTCACCTGGAAGCACCAGCCCCTTGTTGCCATCAGGGTGGGTTTCCCAGCTGCCCTGGGCTCTGTCTGCTGTTGTAAAGGCTTTTAAAGAGACTCGTTAAAAACAGACTTTCTGCTCTCTCTGCTTTATTTCACTCAGAAGGAGGAAGACCTCCTTCATGGGAAGGCTACTCTGATGTGCTGGGCAGCAGCCCTGTTTCCCTCTCAGTGGCAGCCAAGGGCCTCTGGATCAGTGGGCTGTTCCCTCTAGCCACTCACTCCCAAGGCCCAGACTGGTGCAAAGAACCAGTGGTGACTGTGAGAGGACCACAGCTGGTTTTGGTGGCACAGAAACAAGTGAGTCCATGCTTCAGCTGGGATTTGCTTTTCTTCCTTACCTCCTGGGTTACTATACAGGTTATAAGGTGATGATTAACTTTTATTTCCGTAAGAGGAATTGGGCCGGAAGGACATCAAGAGAACATGAGATTAGAAAGCCCATTCAGAGTCATGAATATTGTGAAACAGGATCCTAACAGGTGACAGGGAAGGTTATGGGGGTCGTGCTTGAGGAATTCTAGGAAGAATCTGTCTATTCATTTGACTTTCAAGTAAGAGGCAAGGGAGTGGACCAGGTAGCTCATGATGCCCTTTCCAGGCCTGGGAGGCTTGGGTCTCTCATGTTACATCCTACCTTTCTGGCTGCCACAATCCACTGGCTCCACTTGTAGAAAGAACCTCTCATTTGTCCACATCACCATGGCAACAGAAGCATAGACCAAAGCAGGGGTTATATTTTTATTTCCCTTGTCTCTGCCTGCCTTATTCTCAGCTGGTATCACCTGTGGTAGTAGAAAGAGCAGCAAAACAGGGCATTTAAAGAACTATTAAAAGTACACATAGGGTGGTGCCTGTGGCTCAAAAGAGTAGGGCGCCAGCCCCATATGCTGGAGGTGGCAGGTTCAAACCCAGCCCCGGCCAAAAACTGCAAAAAAAAAAAAAAAAAAAAAGTACACATAAGCTATGGAACCCGAGGAGTTATTTTAGGTGTTCAGAATCACACTTCAGCAGCTATGGTACTGACAACAAGATATCCTTCTTTAGAATATCCAAATGATGCCTTCAGCAAAAATGCACATCTACTCAGGACCTCTCCTAGGAAGTGTTCTGTCAGACACTGTCAGAATTTCCTGGGAGAAGAGACCTGCGACAATACATGTGGGGGCAAGCTAAATGGTTTTCAAGTTGCCTGAGTGTATGACTCAGTACTGGGAGGATACAATGGCTCCGTCTTGAGGGGGTTCCTGGTAGAAATAAATTCATTTCTAGGCTGAGTGCAGTGGCTCACACTGTAATCTTTTTATTTTTTTTTGTAATTTTTATTTTATTTATTTATTTTTTGCAGTTTTTGGGCAGGGCTGGGTTTAAACCCGCCACCTCCAGCATATGGGGCCAGTGCCCTACTCCTTTGAGCTACAGGCGCCGCCCCACACCTGTAATCTTAAGCACTCTGGGAAGTAGAGGTGGGTGGATCACTTGAGCTCAGGAGTTAGAAATGACCAACCTAAGCAAGAGCAAGACCCCCATCTCTACTAAAAACAGAATAAATAGCCAGGCATTGTGGCAGGTGCCTGTAGTCCCAGCTACTTGGGAGCTGAGGCAGGGGGATCTCTTGAGCCCAAGAGTTTGAGGTTGCTGTGAGCTATGATGCCACGGCATTGTAGCCTGGTCAACAGAATGAGACTGTCTCAAAAAAAAAAAAAATTCATTTATTATTTTTTTTTAGAGAGAGTTTCACTATGTCGCCCTTGGTAGAGTGCTATGACATAACAGCTCACAGAAACCTCCAACTCTTGGGCTCAAGCGATTCTCTTGCTTCAGCCTCTCGAGTATGCCCCTGGCTTTATTATTATTATTATTATTATTTTTTAGCAGGCCCAGGCTGGGTTCGAACCCACCAGCCTTGGTGCATGTGGCTGGTGTCCTACCCACTGTGCTATGGGTGCTGCCCAATTCATTTATTTTAAAATAACATTTAAAATGCATTTTAAAGCCTTCCTGAATAAAACTTTAATGCAAGTTCATGATGTTTTTGTGAGTTTGTGTGAGATGCTATGCTGGATCCTGGGAGCAAAAGGGCCTGCCATACAGTTGTTTATGATCTATATCTCACCTATCAGACTGAGAGCTCCATGAGGCAGTGACCAAACCTCAACATCTAACTCTCTCTGCTGACCTCCTGGTCTCTAGCAGCGTCTGGCAAATAGTGAGCGCTCAGTAAGCATCCATGGAGAAAGTGCGTGCCTGATGTAGTGTGCTATCATATCACGTAAGGGGCCACGCTGGCAATTAGATGCCTACAATGGAAGCAGGTACATGGTATCAGAGGGGATAGAAGAAAAAGCCCTGGGTTTGTCTGGGAGAGTGAGGGAAGCCTCACAGAAATTGGCTTGTGATGAACAAGGAAAGGTTTGCCAGGCAGCCCTGGGAAGAGGTGTGGGCCCCTCAGGCGTCCTGCTTGTCAACATTGTTCTTACTACTTTCTTCCTTGCTAACAGAACAGTGGGTTTGCTGAGGGCAACAGTGGGCTCAGATTGAATTTCATCTAGGCCGGCCATACTGGTGACATTCCCTGATTTCCTAGCCTGCCTTGTAGCTAAGGGAGTCATGTGTCCATGAGCTACAGATAACACAAAAAAGTTGGGAGGGGCTAGAGTGAGCTGCTGTCACCCTGCCCTTTCTTTTCTTTCTTTCTTTATTTTTTGGACAGAGCCTCAAGTGTTACCTGGGTAGAGTGCTCTGGCATCAGAGCTCACAGCAACCTCCAACTCCTGAGCTCCAGCGATTCTCCTGCCTCCACCTCCCAAGTAGCTGGGATTACAGGTGCCCGCCAGAATGCCTGGCTATTTTTTGGTTGCAGCTGTCATCCAATGCCCAGGCTAGATTTCAACCTGCCAGGTCATATTTATGTGGCTGGCTCCTTAGCCGCTTGAGCCACAGGCGCCGAGTCCAAATGGGGGCTCACATACACCTAAGGTGGTGGGTTCGAATCCTCAGCCCGGGCCCACCAAACAACAATGATGGCTGCAACCAAAAAATGGCTGGGCGTTGTGGCAGGCGCCTGTGGTCCCAGCTACTTGGGAGGTTGAGGCAGGAGACTCGCTTGAGCCCAGAAGTTGGAGGTTGCTGTGAGCTGTGATGCCATGGCACTCTGCCCAGGGGGATAGCTTGAGGCTCTGTCTCAAAAAAAAAGGCTCAGCGCCTGTGGCGCCAGCCACATACACCTAAGGTGGCAGGTTCGAATTCTCAGCCTGGGCACACCAAACAACAATGATGGCTGCAACCAAAAAATGGCTGGGCGTTGTGGCGGGCGCCTAAGGTCCCAGCTACTTGGGAGGCTGAGGCAGGAGACTCGCTTGAGCCCAGGAGTTGGAGTGAGCAGTGAGGCCATAGCACTCTACCCAGGGGAACAGCTTGAGGCTCTGTCTCAAAAAAAAAAAATATCTTGAATTTTGGACTTGCTCGCTCTTTCTGATTTAGACCTGAATGCTGTGTCTAAAGATTAGCAGCCATAAAGTGGGCATGAAAGCCTGTCCTCTAAAGCCCCAGAGCAGGAAGCCTGGAAGTCCCTGGGACCCTGCTGACATCTTTGAGGACTTAAGCAGCATAGCCATCACTTACCTTAGGATATATATATATATATATATTTTTTGGCTGGGCTGGGTTCGAACCTGCCACCTCCAGCATATGGGGCCAGTGCCCTACCCTTTTGAGCCACAGGCGCTGCCCACCTTAGGACATTTTGAGAAGTGAGAATGGTAGATCTCTTTCATCTTGAAATCAGAGTTTAAATCCCAATGTACTACTTACTAGATGAGTTCCTTGAGCATTAGGTTTCCCATCTATAAAACAAGAATTGGGATACACACCTTGCAGGGTTTGGATTAGAGGCACCTAGGCTGTGTCCACTAGGGGTGTGGCTCCTGGGAAGTGTGTAAAGTGCAGAGGTGGGAGTAGTGAAAGAGGATGCTGGATAAGAAAGCAGACAATCTCTGTGTTCCACAAAGGGTACAGTGTATGAGACAGTATGGAAGACAGGTCAGGGGAAACTAAGACTACAAGTTGGAAGACCTGTAGGGAGATGACCTTTGTCCGAGACACCATGTCGCTTACCACTCTCAGTCACTCCTCACCCGGTCTCTGCTAACTGTCCTGTTTACTCTGTCCATCTTTATTCTGCCAGCTGTAGCCTGTTGCCTCATAGTTGCAGACCTCCTGCATTCCCAGGTGTCATTTCATTCCAGGTAGGAGCCAGGCAGAGAGCTACACTGGTGACTCTCTTCTTTATCAGGAATGAAAAGCTTTCTTGGAAGTCTTCCCTACCTGTGTCTCTCAGGCCTGACCAGGGTCATGTGGGCTACTCAAGCTCAACAGGATCAGGAAAAAGGGTAGAAGTGATGGGAAATTGCTTTGGGGTCAGCCCCAAAGCGGCGTCTGTCCTTGCTCCCTGATTTCATTCTCCATGTAGCTAGTGAGCTTTTGAGAAACTGAAATCAAGAGGATGTCACTCTCCCGCCTCAAGCCTTTCCATGGTCTCCTGTGGACACAGAATTCAAACAACTCTCCTAGAACGCAAGGCTGTCAGAGACTCTACCTCTTGGACGCTGGCTATTCTTTCCTTCACTAGGCTCCAGCCACACAGATTTTTTTTCTGTGCCTCCAGCATGCCAAGGTAGTTCCCACTACAGGGCCTTTGAATTCTGCCCAATTTCTCTTCCCTGCATCTTCATACATCTAGTGGTCCAAGTTGGGATGCTGGGCTGAAAGAAAGAGAAAAGCCGACTGTAAGTGGCTTGAAGCCCCAAGGCTCACCTTTCTCCCATAGCATGTTTGGAGGCAGTGGTGCTGGCACTGGGCAGGGCCTGCACCTGTGTTTCCTTTACTGCTCTCAGACTCAGAGGAAGAGCAGGCGGACCCGAAAGGGGTGCTACCAGGATACCTATCTTTCTTTGCATAAAAGGGAAAACTTCCTCAGAATACTCCTTTCTTCCCCAGCTGACTTTCACCAACATCTCTTTGACTAGAGCTGTGTACATGCCCCCTCTTTAAGAAAGGCTCAGGTGGCTGGGGCACCAGCCAGATACACCGGAGCTGGCAGATTCAAATCCAGCCTGAGCTGCCAAACAACAATGACAACTACAACCAAAAAACAGCTGGGTGCTGTGGCGGGTGCCTGTAGTCCCAGCTACTTGGGAGGCTGAGGCAACAGAATCACTTGAGCCCAGAAGTTGGAGGTTGCTGTGAGCTATGACACCATAGCACTCTACCCAAGGTGACAGCTTGAGACTCTCTCTCAAAAAAAAAAAAGAAAAGAAAAAGGCTCAGGAGTGGCACATTTAGGCAGCCAGCAGTGCTTCAGATAGCTTCTGGTCACTGTTTCAGAGAGTACTTCCCTAAGTGACCCGATGCAAGCAGCCTCCCCCAAGCATATTTCAATATTTAATAAAAAATGCTCTTCCCATTTTCTCACCTCACCCTGTTTTGTTTTGTTTGAGACAGAGTCTCTCACTATGTTGCCCTTGGTACAGTGCTGTGGCATCACAGCTCATAGCAACCTCCAACTCTTGGGCTTTTTTTTTTTTTTTTGGTAGAGACACAGTCTCACTTTGTTGCCCTTGGTAGAGTGCTGTGGAGTCACACAGCTCACAGCAACCTCCAACTCCTGGGCTTAAGCAATTCTCTTGCCTCAGCCTCCTGAGTAGCTGGGACTACAGGCGCCTGCCACAGTGCCCGGCTATTTTTTGGTTGCAGTTCAGCTGGGGCCGGGTCTGAACCCACCACCCTTGGTACATGGGGCCCATGCCCCACCCCAACTATTGGGCTTAAGTGATTCTCTTGCCTCAGGCTTCCAAGTAACTGGGACTACAGGTGCCCGCCACGCCTGGCTACTTTTTTGCTGTAGTTGTTTAGTTGGCCCAGGTTGGGTTCAAACCCACCACTCTTGGTGTATGTGGCTGGCACTGTAACCACTGTGCTATGTATGGGTGCCGAGCCACCTTGCCCCGTTTTGTTTTCTTCACAGCACCTATCTCTGTCTGATATTTTATTTATTTTGTTGTTACTGTCTGTGGCCCCAAGAACACGAACTCCAGCAAGAACAAGCCTTTCATGCCTCTATGGCCAGCGCCCATGGCAAGGTCTGGGGCTGAGCTGCACAGCCTGCATGTGCAGAGTGATGGCTTAGGTCAGCAGCTGGAAGCCTGGATTATAGGATGAGGTTTTGATCTGTGCAGGGACATGACAACATCAGAAGAATTCTAGATTTAAGTTAGGAAGGGGAATGGACAGGACTTGTGATTTGAGTGGGGTGGAGTTGTAATGGAAAGCAGAGATTCTACAATGGCTTCCGAGTTTTTTGCATGGGCGAGGTGAGGGATGTTGGAATCATCGACTAATACAGAGGGGAAGCAGGTAGGGACAGGGCAAGTGGGGAGATGAATTTAGACCAAAAGGTTTCCAGTGAATTTGGGTCATGGGTAATATTGATATGCATAGCTTCAGTGGGGTGGGGAGGAATCCAACCACAGTGAGCTGGCATTCCTTGTGCGATAAGGTGAAATGGATGCTGCTCCCTATGGAGACCGTTTTCTAGGAGCACAGCTGTGAGAGGAAGAGGAAGAAGGGCCACTGCTGGAAGAGGAAGCAGGGTCAAAGGTGGTCTCTTATAATGAGAGATGCTTGAGTATCCACTGATCTGACATTTTCATCTTGTCTGATCTATTTTACTTTTAGGCTAAAAAGTTAGGAGCTGCTTGGAATTGCTGCTTAGATTGGATCTCATATCCAGAGAGCAAGACCTGAGGTGACAGGGGGCTACAGGCAGGCCCAGCTTTGTTGCCTGGTGTCCTATAGCAACCTGGTCCTCACAGCTGGAGCAGGGGCTCTCACATAGGCCTGCAGTAAGGGTCTCCTCAGTTTGGCTGTGTCTGGAGAGCAGGCCACTCTGAGCCTAGCTGGTCCAGCCTCTGCTGCCCTCTCCAGGGCATGGCTGCAGAATTGGCATGCAACTTCAGTGGAGACAGGCCTAGGAGTGGGAAAATTGTAATGAATTTACAGATCCCTGGAATAAAATTCCTTCAGAAGTTACACAGTCCAGGGTCCTAGCTCTGGGCAGTGCTGTTTCAATGAATACCTTGGGTGTTTCTTTTCTTTGACACAGGTCTCACTTCGGTGCCTGGATAGAGTGCTGTGGTGTCACAGCTCACAACAACCTGAAACTTTTGGGCTCAAGTGATTTTCTTGCCTCAGTTTCTCGAGTAGCTGGGACTACAGGCACCTACCACAATGCCTGGCTTTTTTAGAGAAGAAAATCTCACTTTTTTTTTTTTTTTTTGAGACAGAGTCTCAAGCTATCCC